GTATTTTATTTAATTTATTATTAAATATTTAAGCTTTTTTAAAAATTGAAAATGTAGTTTTCTTGTCATTGTTGTCAATGCTCTGCGCATGAGTAACGAGACTATAAAGGGCCAGCTACCTCTTTTAGACTAACTAACTACGAATACTAAACCTAAAGGGAGCCAAACAATAAAAAAAAAGGAAACACCTTATTCGGTAGGTGGCTAGCGCGACCGGGAGAAAAGACGGCGCGCGGCTAGGTTAGACACGAGACGGTCACGTGAAGTAGCGTCTAAACTGCTAAAAGACAGTAAAGCTATAAAAGGGAAACGTTTCGCGTTAACCCGGAGACGAGATAAAATAGATTACTAGCGAGGAGTGATAGTAACTCCTACTAGAGTAGAAAGAAGCAGCGCTGAGGAGGAGCTATTAAGACCCTCAGCCTTAAGTTAAGCGAATAGGGAAAGACCTAGGTTAAACAGGTTAGCGAGATTAACACACTTGGTAGGTAAGCAAACCTTTAACGGGGGGCGCGCGAACCGGAACCGGACTAGGAGCTCAAAGAAGCACTAGCACGCGATAAGAAACCCTAATAGAGCAGCGTGCTACGAGTATAAGGGCTATTTCTACGAGAGGAAAGGCTACGAGGCGAAGCTTTCTAGTTAAAGGCGTTTTGGGAACGACTAGAGGCCCTTCTCCTTACGCTTGCCTTTGCCTTTACCCTTTAACTGGGAATTATCAGGATATTAGTCCTAATTGGTATCGAATCCTTCGCCCCTAGAGGGGTATCGCGGCTCCAAGACGAGTGCGGCCGGCTGCCTAGTCGTAGGAGACGGGGGCACAATCGGGCGAGGGGCGGGGGCGGCTGGTAGCGCGGCTAGACCGACAGGACGACCGATTAGAGCGGTAGGAGGCGCGGCAGGGGCGACAGGGTGACTGGTCAAAGCAGTCGAGGGCGCGGCGGGGGCGACCGGACGAGGACTCCCAACCAAAACGAGCGCGTCAGAATCATTAAGGGACTGCTCAGGGGCCAGGGCGCCGGCCACGGGTAGTAGGGGCCGGGCTAACGGAAGAAAATCCCGACGGGGAAGCGCTATAGGCGCGACCAAGACGCTGGTCTCGAACAGAGCATTGACAAAAAAACTACACTACATGTAGATTTTTAGTGTAGTTTGTAGTGTAGTGTAGTTTTTGTAGTTTTAGTGTAGTTTAACTACACTACAACTACATTTGTAGTGTTTTGTTGGCCCAAACGCGACACACACACACACCTGTGACTCTATACGCGGTATCGCGATCTAGTCACTTCCCAATTCTCGTAACTCACTCCTTGAGGCTGGTAAGGTCCCCAAATAAGCAGTAGATCAATCCAAATGGAGTGATCAAATGCTTCCAAAATACTCGTAATCCCAATCGCACATATCGCAGGCTACAGCCCATTGAGAGTGCAAACAAGTAATCAGATAACTCAGACGATTTAGCTGTATAGCGTGGGCTCGTACAAGGCCGATCAAATGACTTAGTAAAACATTGGTAAAAGATCTCATGAACTCAAATGTGAAGGCGAAACTTGTTGAATTGAAGACTTGTGCGTGTGCCTGTCCTCTTATACTAATAACGTGGCTACGATCAAATGCACCATCCGACTTCCTCCGACTTGTGAGCACAAATGCCGCCACACAGTGTAATGTGTAGTTATAGAGGGAAATTTTAATTATAAATATAACGTTAATCATAAGACTTATAAGGTTATAATTAATATCTTTAAATAGAGCTAATTTAGCTCTTTATAATGCATTAGTTTTTATATATATAGCTTATAAATTAAGTGAGTTATAATAGGTTAAATCTTAGCTAAAAATTAAGATCTACTTTTTTAAAATAAGAGATTTAAAGCTTAATAACTTACTTATTAATAACGCTATAAAGCTAATTTTATAAGATTTAAAATCACGTGATTTTTAGCTTTATTTTAATATACAATATGCTTATATAAGCTTTTTTTTAGTAAAACTTTTTTTATAATAAAATTTAAAAATAAAAAAGTTAAGTAAGAAATATAAAATCTATTATAATATAAGAAATAATATATATAAAAAGAAAGTATAAAATATTATTTTATATGAAAAACTTTAAGGTATTTAAATATATTATTTATAACTTTAATATATTTCTTATAACTTTAATATTTAATATTTTATATTTAAGTTATACCCTGTTTTTAGCTTATTTAAGCTAGCTAATCCCTGCTTATTAATACTAATATTAGTAAGCAAATTTAGCTCTATTTTAGCTTACTAATTATATTAGCTAATAATAGCTTATAAATTAATTAATACTACACATTACACTAATTTTTAAAATGTAATGTAGTGTAGTAAAACTACACTACACTACACTACACTAAATTTCACTAAAAACTACAAAACTACACTACTTCTAATGCTCTGGTCTCGAATGGCAGGGGACAGGCTGACAGATTCAATCACCCTTTTAAGACGGGCCATTTACGCGGCGCGCTCTTCACGATCAGAGCGCTAAGTGTTAACGAGCTGGTTAAGGGCCTGAGTAATACCGGCCTAGTCGCGGCAGAAATCCGCAACCATCGCTTGATAACCTGGATCCTAAATCATATAAGGAGGGGTGAGAAGGGAGAAACCTTTCTTCTCCTTTCTCTTTCTTCTTAAGTTTATTCTTACTTTCTAAAGACACATACTTGCAGCAGTAAAGTATGGCTAGTCCTCAACACCAGCTATGATTAAATGGTCCATCCGATTTCCTTCGAGTTATGAGCACAAATGCCGCCACACAATAGCTAGCCTTATTATTAAGATTTGGGTTAATACTAGATAATAAGGCTAGCTATCAACTAGCTAGGCTATGTAGCGGGCTTCTAGTAAGTGTTCGCGAAGGGTGCTGGAAGGGT